ATTATAATATAATAAAATATAATATATTAATAAAGATTATTTAAGAATAAGAAGAAATATTAAAATAAAAAATATGTAAATAGAAAGAAGATCTTTTAATAATTTTTATATTTAAAAAAGAACTTTATAAATAAAGATATAATAATATAAAAAGCTATTAAAATATAAATATAAATATAATTAAAAGTTAAATTAATAATTATAATTATTTAATAAGGAGAGGAGCTATTAATATAAAAAGTATATTAGAAGATAGAGAATTTTCTAAAAATTAAAGATAAATTAATAGAAATTAAAATAATTTAATATATAATAATTAAGAAGAAATTAAAATTATTAAATAATTAAAGAATTATTATCTCGATTATTTATAATTTAATTTTAAAGTAAATTAGAAATCTAAGCTTATAATCTATTAATTTATATTATAATCGATATAGAAAATATTAAATAATAATTAAAGGTATAGCTTAATTATAGAATAAAGAGATAATAATAAATAAAAGGAAAAAAAAGATAAAAGTAATTATATCTCTAGAAGGAGATATTAAATCGAGAAATAAATCGAAGATTCTTATAGCCCTTAATAAGAGCTATAAAATAATATATTTTTTATTTAAATTAAAAATAAATAAATCGAGGGGTAATTAGAAGAAGGTTATAATTAATTAAAAGAAATATTTAAATTAATCTTAATAAGAATAAAGTATATCTTAGAAAGTATCTATTCTTAATAATTAAGAATATATAAATTAGATAGGAATTATTATATAAAAGGGATTTATAAATATTATTAAAATTAAATAATTATTAAGATCTAAAAACCTAAAAAATAAGTCTAGGGGGTACTTTTTATATATAATAGACTAACCCTTAATAGCTATATATAGATAAGGCGCTTAGATTACTTCTAGATTTATAGGGGAAGTAGAGTCGGATTTAAGCTCTAGCTAATAGGGTATAAGAGAACTTAAACGTTTATTATTATAGAATAGCTCTATAGAATATTATAAAAATTATACTATTCTATAGCTATGATTTTTCTCTATTTTATAATATCTATATTATTATAGTTTAGCTTTTATTTAAGCTATTAGAGTAGTTATAAGACTCTAATCCTTATAATTCCTATATTTAATAGTTAAGAGTATATAAATTAGATAGGAATTATTATATAAAGGGAAATAATAAATATACTTTAAAAATAAATATATACTAGATATAGAAAAACCTAAAAAGTAGGTCTAGGGGATAGGCTCTATATATAGTTAATTAACGCTTAGTAGCTATATATAGATAGGATACTTAGATTACCTCTAGATTTATAGAGAAATAGAGTTGGTTTTACTCTAGCTTATAAGCTTAGCTATTAAGAGATAAGAGAAGTTAATAGCTTATTACTATAGGATAGCTCTATAATGGATTATAAAAAGTATACTATTCTATAGCTCCGCTTATTCTCTTTTTAAATATATATATATCGATATAGTTTAGCTTTTCTTTTAGCTACTAGAGGAGTTATAAGATACTAACTCCTATAAATTATATTTACTACTTCCTACTATAAAATAATTCCTATCTAACTTATATATTATAAATGACTACTAATAGATACTCTCTAGGATAGGCCTTATCTCTATTAGGAATAATCCGAGACCTTATACTTAATTATATACGAAAACGGCTACTAATTAGGATTCACGGATATATAATAAATCTCAATAGCTCTTTATCAGCACCAAAATGGGTAACTGGTCTCAGCGTAGTGCTACGCGTCTGCGATTAGCTTGATGCCATGAGGATGAGCCACTGAGCGACAACACCGCCCTGAGATCGCTGCTGTACCCCATTCGCATCTACAGAGTTACTATCGAGTAAGAACGCATTCAGCCTCGCTCTCAGATTCCCTCAGGTCTGTAAGGGCATGATGGTTTCACCAGCACGTGCTTCAGGCGTTGGGCCATCACCTTCGCAGGGTTTACGACCTCCCCATGGGAACGTAGAGGTGTACGTGCGAATACCATTATAAGATGCCCGATCATAGTGGCTAACAAGAAAGGTCAGTCTGTGTCCAGCTAAGCAATGTCCAAAACATACAGCACGTCACCAACCAAACGGACTTTGAACACAGCCAGATCGACATCTTGGGAAGTTGTCTTTGGGTGCAGATCCTTGTTGATGTCGAGAAGTAACCACATAGACCCCGTTTTTTCGATATTTACGGGCGTGTAGATATAATCGTGAACCCAGTCAGTTTTCGCCCGAATCTTGGCAACATGAAATCGTTGGCTAGGGTGATTGAGCGCCCCAACGCCGGTCCTGCGATTTGTTCTACTCGTACTCTGAAGCAGTATCGTGTGGGCTTTGAAAGCGAAATGGCTTGTTCAGTCGATCCCTCGTTCGATGGCATCGTGAACAAATGTGAGATTCGTGGGGTTGAAGGATGAAGACTTATGTTGGTAGACGGTCTGCGCTGCGCGAATCCCCAAACTGCTGAACTGCTGCATTTTAGCCTGAGGTGTCACCAAGTTGAACGAAGAACATCTAGTTCACCCAAGGTAATTTGGTGTACAGGTGCTCAATCCTCTCGTATTAGTTCTAGTAATGGGACGGACTTACGAGAAATGAGTCCATACGGCTAACTACGACTATTTTTTGCAGGCGCATATTGGCCATAGCACCCACCGGTGGTAAAGCTTACCTTGTAAATGAATGGGTTATCCTGAATTGACTGAGACACGGTGACTCCACGGTGGCAGCCAACCATTTGCTCTCTGATGGAATTACCATACGTACCTATGTGGCATATGAGCGTGACCGGATTGGCATCGCTCGTACATACACGTCTCTAGCTGTGATCCAATTACATAGCAATACTTCACTATTGCACGACGGGACTACAGTTCCACCGCGAGAATCAGTATGGTTCACAATGAAACAGGGTGATACATTTCCATCTGTCTACCCGATACCGTTGTCCGCTTCCCCACATCATAGCCGTGATCCAAGTCAGAACTCCCGGCCAGTACGTCCGTTCCCTCGTCGCAGCAGCCCACAGTAATACCCGCGACGCCTAAATACCCATGGTGAAGTCGTGCTCGATTCCAGGTGTCACACTGGCGATGAACTACAAGAAATTTGTTAGCAACCGAAGACCACAACCAGAGCACGGGGAAACATATTAACCTTAAGGAACACCACCAGGTACTGGTCCACCCTAATCGCAACCTCCTGCTCATCAGCTTCGCTCTGCTCGACTTGCTCCCACTCGTCGTTGCCCTTGTCAGCGGCCGCCTCTGCAGCCTTGACATCCAGCTTGCCAATCTCATCGACAAGACCCTCCATACCCTGCTCGCCGCCAGCAGATTTGCCAGCCTTGAGCTTCTCGCGGCGGATCCGCAACGCGGCATCTGCGCGATCGAGCAAGGTACGCATGACAGGCGCGTGCTTGCAGGGATGAACGCTCGCCATCTTGATGTTGTTGGCAAAAAAAGGGAAGTCCTCGAGTGTGACCGTCTTGTCCTTGTAGTCGCCCACGATGTCATCCATCATGGACTTGGGCGGGAGAGGTTGTCCATCGGGAAGGTAACCTGAGAGATAAAGGCGAGGAGTGCGGTAGTATGCAGAGTACATTATGTACAAGGTATATGTTCGTCGACCACTACTGCGGTTAGCATCCGTGAGAAACACGGCGCAAGATGGCAACCTACCTGTCATGCCCGTCTGCGCCTACCTCCCGGATGATGGCCTCGTCGTCGTCTTCATCGTCCTCCATATCCGGAATATCGTCTTCTTCCAACGCCTCGCTCTCGCCGAGGTTCCCAGAATCGTCTACTGTCCTGACATCCCGTGCCTTGAGAGGCTGCGAGCTCGCTAGGCCGCCTGTCCGCAGCCAGCCATCCTCATCGTCGCCACCGGATTTGCCCTCCACGACAGACTCTTCGTGGCCGGCATCGCCGGCAAAGTCGTCGTTAAGCCGGCGATGGCAAGGAACGTTGCGCGTGACGAGGTATTGCTTCCCCGCTGGGAGGTAGCTGGCCCTACGGCTCGCATCGTCCGCGTCACCCCAAGACCAGGTCGGGAACTTGTAGACGAGATAGTCGCCCGCAGCAACGAACTCTTCTGGGGTGATCTGACCAGACTGACGGAAGGTAGAGGTATGGGTTACGGGCGTATATTTATCTCGCAGGGTATTGACGGTTGAGTACAGCAGATTCATGATGGCGTCTTGGTTGACGAAGGCTATCGATTAACTTGGGTTCAGTACGGAGGATATCGGTCTGATGTGTCGAGGGCCGTGCTGTGCAACACGTATACGGACGGGTCCCTGCGCAATATGTAGTGCTCTGGATGACTCTTGCCAAATATGAAGCCTTTGCAATGTCTGATGATGAAAGGCTCTCGGTAAGAAGCAATCAGCTGGATCACAGCAGGCGACAATCGTCAGGCAGGCAGCTTGATGGCCATCAAGGGCCGATCACATGGATGGCGGGGTCGTCTGACGATTGGTGGGGCGATGGGTTGGCGTTGAGCTCTTATCTTATCTTCAGCGTGCAGGCCCCGCCCGTCGTCATTGGGCCGTGACCGTGACTAGGTACTTACCGAGTGACAAAGGCAGACGAAGTGCGATGAAGAACTGAGCTTCTTCTGGAATTCATGGCAACTATTCATCACGAACCACAATCTGCATTGATTCTATCGTGTGACTCATTCCTCCTCCTCATCGCTGACCTCCTCTCCAGCGTCTATTGCGTCCTGCCGTTTCTTCGCAGCTCTCGCCCTCTTCCTGTCGAGCAACTTCTTGAGCCTCGACGCTGAATTGAAGACGCCGCTAGTCCCGCTTCCACATGCCGCGCATGTTGGATCTTTCCTGTATCTTTTGAGCGCGCAAGGCTCGCAGAAGTAATGACCACATCTCGTTACCACTGGTGACTTGTATGGTTCTCTGCAGATGATGCAGGCGAACGGGATGTTCTCTAGCATGGCGTCTTCCTCCTCCTCATCGTCGTCTGCCACCTTACTTCGATTCGCTTCCGCGACGACGGTTCCACCTAAATTCTTCTTGCCTTTGGCAACATCCTCCCACTCCTTATCCAGCTGCCATCCCTGCTTGTAGTCCTCACGGGCATGGAGGAACTTGCAGTTGTCGCCAAATCCGCAGAAGCCTGTTGTTGTAAGGTTAGCATGGGTGTCCTATGAGACAGCACGGAGGACACATGGAGACGACGCACCTGTCTGTTTGTAATCTTTACATGTATCCGGTGTGTAGTCAATCACCGTAATGGTTCTGATGTTGGTGGGTGCTTTGATAGGTCCGACTGTGCGACTGGGCGCATCGAGGTTTCTCTGGACGAAGGATGTCTTGTTGGCCAGGCCCTTGTATGTGCCGTCAGGTGCCGCCCGCGTGCTGCCCAGAAGATTCTTCGAGGACACGGCACCCTTTGCGTCTTCATCGAACCAGTTGCTTGACTTGGTGGCGTCGTTGGCGCTGGTGATTTGCGCGTTGCGATCGGCTGAGAAGATTGGCGCGGCGATATCCTCGTTCGAGGTGGCGTTGGCTTTGGACGAGGCTGTGACTGTGCCTGTATTCTTCTTTCGACGCTTGATGCGGTGACCGGCCTCGTCTTCCGATGAGGAGTAGTCGGGGTCGGAGTCGCTGTTCGCAGGTGGTGTTGCTGGCCGCTTGCGAATGTTGGCTTTGCCTTTTGCGCCACGGCGCTTGAAGACTGCGACGGGTGCAGGCGCGGCATCTGCCTCAATGCCTGTACCGCCGTTTGGCTCCATGGTGTTCGAGCTATGCAAGATGGCGATGAGGTTGTTGTGTAAAGTGTTGGGTAGTCCGAAAAAGAAAGGTTGTAGACAAGGGGATGACACTGGGAATCATTCTAGAATGCTGAGGACTGATGATGGATTAACAAGCCACTCGACCAAGCCGAACGCATTGGTGTCGCCTTCCAAGCCTGTGGCTGAGGAGTGGAGTTACCCATCACATGACTTTGTGCATGGCCTCTCCAATGACAAAGTAGCTCGGGCCGCCCACCTGCAAGGGAAGCGATGTAATCAAGAGGCGCTTAAATTAGGTACCTAGCCAAGGTACCGACGTAGTCCGACTGGCGGCAAGCTACATAGCACCTGTGTATTGATGGGACGGTCCATGATTGGACGAACCGAATATGACCCATCGAATGCCTAGTGCGAAGCTGGTGTGGAGCTCGTTCTGGCTAAAATGAAGATTATGCGACACGATTCGTCCAAGGTTCGAAGGAACGCGACTTGGGATTGTTTGTTGATGTTGATGATGACTTGTGTGTGTGCCACTTGCTGTGTCGGCTGCTGACCGTGCTGTCATGGCATGGCATGCGCCATGTCCATGTTCTTGGAGAGAACATTGGCATGGCCGCTCATCGGTTGGCAGCCACGCCACTGGGTACCATGAACATGATGATTTGTGCACGACGTGCAATACGAAGCTCTTGAAACCGCGGGAACTGGGGCCAGGCCTTGCTTGCTTCTGCCGGGTTCCTCTTCCTCGTCAGGACGCAGGGCAGAGCCCGAGTCAATCACATCTTGTCGGGACTGAGCAAATGTGGAGGAGATCTGATCCACGTTGTCTTGGGATCTGGGGCGGGAAGCATGTCTGACGGAGAGCAGATGACGGTGCCAATGGACACGAGCAGCACGAGCCGTGTGTTCAAAAGTTGTGTGTGTTCTTCATGCTGCTTCTGCTTGCATGAGACGAATGAGACCATCGTGTATATATGTATTGTGCTTCGCTGGCGTCACTCGGATGACACAGGCCCGCAGGTTGTGCGTCCTTGTACATGTTCACACTACGTCCCGTCCCATGCCTCCCTCGCGCATGGTACCTGGCATATCCAGCATGGGGCATTGAAGTTGGCAGATTACACGCAGGCGCCCCTCCTCACAGCTCGGGTCCTATTCGCTCCGCAACGCTCACGAAGCCCACAATGTGGTCCTGGACCTTGTCCCCATGTTCACTTTCGGCCCTGACAAGGTCTCTACGCGCGCCTTGGTGGATCAACGGAGCGAGGGAGACCTCTCACATTGCTCATTCTGCGCATCTCTGGTCTGGCCCTGACCTGCCTTTTGCTCTTGAGGTACATTACTTGTACGCACCAAGCTGGCACTGGCAGGCGCTGAGACGGCAGCCCGTAGGTACTTGCGCAAAAGTGAGGTGAGGAGGGCCTGCGTGCGCCGTGTCCTGGGCTAGGTCTGTTTAACCTCCGAGGTCACGTCAACAGAATTCACACCCATATCTCGATCCTCCTCTCTTCATCCTTCGATCTTCATCTCGACTCCGACCTCACCTACACCTCCTCCCCTCTCCTCTCTCCCCCTCCCCTCGTCCGCCTATCGTCCACGCGAGACAACCACCCAACGACGTGGAGGGAAAACGAGACGAGACGGCTTCCGGCAGCTCCCCGCCAGAATTCGTCCCTCTCTTATTTGCATTGATCCCTTGCCTTCTCTGCCCTCTTCTTTCTTCGCTCTTCCCGAGACTTTTGCCATTTCTCCCTTCCGATTTGCTCGCCATTCCTAGCCCTTCTTTCGGTCAGCAGCCCGCTTTCGCCAGGCCGGCATCCCTAATAATACCATTGTTGTCTGTCCCTGCTTGTCACCTCGAGAGGGTCTCGAGATTTGGTCTTGCCGTGGGGCACGCTTTCTCGTCTGCTCGAGCTTAGGCTGCGCAAGCGCGTCAAGACGTGACAGTTGCGCGAGGTTGATAGGCTGTCAGTGTCCGATTTCCCCAACACGCTCGTTTTGGGCCTTTTGCTGGGGCCACGGCATCGAATTGGCGAAATTCGGTCAGAGCGGGCAGTCAGCACAAACGTCCAGGTCTCATCAATCGGGCTACGCATTTCTGGGTCGTCTATTTCGGCCACCCTCACATTCCAGCGACGATCCTGAGTCCCACCACAACAACAACCTCGATCCCTCTAAACACGACAATTGCCGACCGATAGTTCCTTCCGCTTGCAACCCTCGCCAGATCCTTCGACGAACTTTTTGATTTCTGGGATCAGCCTGTCTTTCTCTTCTTTTCATGCCCGAAATTCGACCTAATAGTTCGCTCACACGTTTCTAATCTATTTACTTCGACCGCGTCAAGGTATCGACAGGGTTCGACTGGCTTCGCCTCAAACAGCTTGACGCTCCTGTCCTACCTTTCGAAAGCCACACCCGCGCATCGCATTGTTTGCCAATTAGTTGCTGCTGGGAGTTCGTTCTGAACCTGCAGGGACACGTACTCAGTGCACCGGCAATCCCCCTCACGGCGATCCGCCGATCGGGAAACAAAGAAACCGCCGAATCAACGACTGCCATTTGAAACCGCCTCGCATGGTTCCGACGAAGAGCACCTGAACGCGACGTTTGACCGCCTAACATCACCATGGCGGCCTCTTTCGCCGACAGGCCACTGCTGCCTCCGGGCGATGCAGACGGCTCTAACGACCCCTTTGTGTCGCCTTCCGCTCCGGCGCACCACCGGTACTCCAACTTCGACAGCCAACTCTTTGCTCTTGGTCCTGCATCTTCCCCGGGCCAGGCGAAACGCGCGCTCGAAGCTCACCTGGCCGAAACTGAACGTCGGATGGAAGAAGCGGGCAAGCTAGGGACCGCGCTTGTCCAGCAGCGAAAGGAGCTGGCACAGCGACTGAAGGAGGTCGAAAAGCTACAGGCTGAAGGAGACCTGACTGATGAGCTTCGCACGAAGCTTACCGAGATTGAAAAGGAATACAATGATGTAGCACGGGAAACCGCGCGGGCTTTCCTGCCGAAGCAGAGGGTGCCCAGTAATGAGGCAGCTGGAGGCTCACCATTTGTACCGGAAGGTCGCGGTGGAAGAGTGAGTCAAGCAGACAGAGCACCGGGAATGATATGCACTAACAGGATGGTCTCGCAGCGTTCCGTCAGTCCGTCAAAATTCGAGAGCCAAGCCACAGGATCACCGACAAAGCTCAGCGTCCCGAACCGAAAGATACGAAATCAACCCTCCAACCGGGTGCACGACATCGAATTCGCAGCAGAGATCAGCACCTCTCTGCTCGCCCAGGTCCGCAACCTGCAGGCTCTTCTCGCCGAGAAGGACGAGGAGCTCCGGGATACGAAGGCCGAGAAGTCTAGGCTCGAGATCGAGACAGAAGGGTTCCAGCAACGGGTCAAGACCCTCGATGAGAGCGAACATCGTTATAAGGACGAAAACTGGAACCTGGAGACGCAGATCCACGAGCTGATGGCCTCCCAGAAAGAGGGCACAGATCGCGAGAAGAAGATGACCCAGGCTCTGAATATCCTCCAGGCTGAAAAGAACCAGGCTCAGAAGGAACTCGACGAAGTGAAGCTCTCCCACGCAAAGTTGGCCGAGGAGCACGAAGCCTCCATCAAGCATCACGATATAGAGCTCGGCACAGCCAAACGCAGCGCCGCTCTCGCAGAAACCGAGCGCACAACTCTGCAACGCAAGATCGACGACTTGATGGGCCAGAACCAAGAACTCGCCAAGGCCTTCTCGTCTCAACGCGGACGAGGCCTCGAGCGCGACCATCACATGGGCATGAGCGACGAAGACTTCGAGACTGCGAACGATAACGTCACACCGGAACACTCGCCCCCTCCCTCGCCTATCAAGGGCACCCCACGCCACTCTGTTCTCGAATCTGAAACCCTCAAGACGTCCCTGCTTCATGCTCAGCGAACTATCCAAAGCCAGCGATCGCAGCTGCACCGCGAGAAGACTGAGAAGCTTGAGCTCAAGAGGCTCCTCCAGGACAGTCGCGATGAGCTCGAAAGGTCCCGCAACGATTCTGGTGGTCTCTCGAACCGTCGCAGTCGCAAAGTTGATTCTAAAGAGTTCAAGAAGCCCGCCAAGACTCTGCTGGGAGGTCTTCGATCAAGCCGCAGCGAAATTGTCGACGACCCTGAATGGGAAGAGCACTCCGAGGGCGTTAGTCCCAGACGCTCTTCCACCCACTCCACTCCCACGTCTCGCATGCCCGGGCCTGGCGCCTATCCTATGACCACCGACACGAGCGACCAGTTTGACACCGCCAATGAGACGAGCGACGCCGCTTTCGAGACAGCCAACGAACGTGGCACGGAAACGGAAGGCTTCCACACCGGTGCCGAAGAGTTTTCTGACGACGACGACGCCCAGACCGAGACGGAAAGCCCTTCAAGGTCCCGAAGGCCGCAAGCCTTGACGCTGGCTGGAAGCCGAAACTCTTTCCACAGCACGGCATCGACATCGGCGGACGAAGATATGGATTACAGCGAACTGAGAACGCCGGTAGCGCACTCTTCAGAACAAAAAATGCGTCTCAAGGTCAGCCGCGGATTCCTCAACCGACGCTCGCGACAGGCGAGCGAGGAGCCCACCTTCCAGAGCAGCCCGGCCAGTTTTGCAACCAGCAGTGCCAACGGAACGCCCCAGCAAGCCGGTCAGAGTTTGTTCGCCGAGCTGGCAGAGCTCGAAGGCAGCGACGTCGAGTCTCTCGATGCAACGCCCAGTCGCAGAGCTAGGTCAATAACCCCTGCATCTGTGGCTAAGCGTTCGAGCACTACGCCCTCTGTGCTCGCTTTACCTCAACTTGCAATGGTCGACAGTGGCATCATGACCGACCCTGTGAAGAAGTCCCGCGAGCCATCGCCCGATCTGACGAGGACGAGACCTCTCATGGTGGACTGCGGTGTCATGACCGAACCTATGGAACCCCTGACCCCGCGATCCCCAGTCAGCGTCGTTGCTCTCGACAGGCCCACGTCTGTATCTTCTATGCTCGACGCCGGTACCATCTCAGGCCAGAGTGACACCACCACCGCCTCGAGTCTGCCAGATTTCTCTCGCTCTAGGCCACAATCAACATGGTCGTACAGCGATGCTGGTGCACAACACGATCCTGGTATGGACAGAGAGCTGTCTCAGTTCCCTCTCCCACCCACAATGCAACATGGCTTTGTTCAGCCTCCAGCCCCGCGCCTGAGCTTCTCAGCCATTGACAATCAAGACATGGCGCCAGTCCCGGAACCCGTGGTACTGCCTCCCGCGCCTGCGGCGCTAACGTTCACCGCCTTGGATTCCACTGCCATTGAGCCCAAAGCTGAGCCTGAGCCCATTCCTGAACCGGCACCGGCCTTGCGACTGTCGCCGATTTTCTCAGAGACGGTCGAGCCAAAGGTGGAGCCTGAGGTGCCTGTCCCGGTACCTATTCTGAAGTACTCACCACTGATGTCGTCGACCGTGGAGCCCAGGGCCGGACCTGAGGTTATCCTACCCGCTCCGGTGCTTGGCCTTTCTTCATACCGGTCTGAAGCTGTTGAGCCACGGTCTGAACCCGCGATTGTACCCCCGCCTCCTCCTCCGGCTCCTGAGCTCGCGTTCTCTGCCTTGGTCTCTGAGATTGTTGAGCCCAGAGCAGAGCCTGAACTGGCCCCTCCTCCCCCGCCCCCTATGCCGCAGCTGGTTTTCTCTTGCTTCGTTTCTGAAGCCATCGAGCCGAAGGTCGAGCCCGAACCGCCTGTTCCAGTTGCTCCTGTTTTGAGCATGTCTCCTCTCTCCATACACGACATTGAGCCGCTTGCCGAGCCGGAGATCGAGCCCATCCTTCCCTCTCTTGTCCTTTCAGGCATCGTGTCTGAACATGTCGAAC